AAAAAAAAAAAAAAAAACAAGTTTCTTTTAAAGTAGTTAAACACAGCAAAAGCCAACTGATGCAGCTGTTTGCTCAGACTTGTTTGTTTCTGAGATGGGGCCCTAGTTAAATAGTCCAGGCTGCCCTGGAACGCACAGAACTTCCTCCATCTGAGGGTGGGATCACAACTCTATGCCCCAAGCCTAGCTCGAACTATCTGACCTGCAGTTTGCTCATGATTCATCATAAATCATAGCTGAGTCCCATCATTTCAGTAACAGAGACTTACTTAGGCACAAAAGGCATTGCCAGACTCCCCGACAGAGTCAGGACAAATGGTCTTGAGGGTACTTGACACATCAGGGAGTGATCAAAACAAAGGAAGGAAATGCTGAGGTTGGTGCTTCCTGTGCTCAGAAAGGGCTTGAGCTGCAGGCAGGGATTATGTCAAGAAAGTTTGCCTCACTCCCCTTGCCACTGCTGTGTGTGTGGAAAAGAAAAGGCACTATGATTAAATTAGTCCATTACGGGGACTTGCCACCAGAGCCTGGTCATTCTGCCTCCACTTCCAAAGTGCTGAGATTATAGGCATGCTCCATCACACCAGACTTAGAAAGTGTAAGGTTTCTAAGTACTGTCTCTTAGCATTAGCGGCCTTAGCTGTCTCCCAAGGAAGTACAGGTGACACCACATTTAGGTGTGCAGGGATGAGATGTGGTGATGCAGTGCTTTTTACATTAGTTTGTGGTCAGTCAGGAAACCTCTTGCTTAAACTAAAGGAGGCACACACAGTAGTCTGTGGTAGCTCACACTTAACATCCTAACACTTAGGTTGAGGCAAGTATATTGCGATGGGTATGAGGCCAGCCTGGGTTACAAAGTGAGAGCTTGTCTCAAAAAAAAAAACAATTGAAAAAAGCTACCGAGATGGTTCAGTGTTAAAGAGCATTGGCTGCTCTTCCAGAGGACCTGAGTTTGGTTCCCAGTACTCACATGGTAGCTCACAGCCACCTATAACCCCAGTTTCAGGAGACCCAGTGCTCCCTTCTGACCTCCTCAAGCACGAGGCACAAATGTGATACACAGACACTCATGCAGGCAAAACATTCAGACATACAAAATAAAAATAGTCTTTAAAAGCCTGTCATGGAAGCCCACACCTTTAATAGTAGCACTTAGGAGGCAGAGACCAGTCTGTTCTCCATAGCAAATTCTAGGACAGCTGGGGCTACATAGAAAGGCCCTGTCTCGAAAATAAATAGCTAGGTGTGGTGGCACATGCCTTTAAAGTGGTAAAGGAGTCTGCTGACAGACCTGGAACCTGTGTGGTAGGAGAGAACCAACTTCTGCCAGTTGTCTTCTGACCTCCACACAGGCGCCATGACACGCATGCACGCCACACATACAGTGAATAAATACATAAATTAAATTAGTGTGATTTTTTTTTTTACATTTATAAAAGAGAAAGGCGGCACTGTCAAGGTAGGCTTAGTACCCCAGTCTGGAGAGTCAAGTGTTTTCCAAGAGCCTCTTACTGAAACTTGCCTCATCCCCATATTGTTTTGTTTGCTTGCTTGCTTGCTTGTTCGTATTTTTTGTTTGTTTGTTTTGAGACAAGGGTTCGTGTAGCCCAAGTTGGTCTTGAACTCACTGAATAACCAAGTATGACTTTAAACTTCTGATCTTGCCTCCACCTCCTAAGTGTTGGGATTACAGCTATACGTTCCCACACTCAGCTTTGGTGATTGTCTCACTGGGTAGCCCAGGCCAGCCTAGATTCATAGCATTCCTGCCTCTGCTCCCCAAGTGCTGGGATCACAGGCATTGCCTGTTCAGAACCCTTAGTAAGCTCTTTGACTGCTCTCGGCCAGTTCAGCTAATGTGTCAAGGTCTGCTTTAGCCCCATGCCCTGCTTCTGATGGACCGCCACCCCTTGAGACCTCCAGTTGGCCAGGAAAGATGCCCATCGTCTTGGTGGGTTTTCTTATCGTTTCTCACTATGTAGCCTTCACTAGCACTCACTCTGGAGACCAAGCTGTCACTCAGACTCACAGAGATCCTCCTTCCTCTGCCTCCTAAGGGTAGCTAGCGATTAAAGGCATTGTACCAGGACACCCAGCCCTTAGTGAGAGTTTTAGAAACAGTGGATGCTCATTTTATCCCACTGTAAACTAGAGAACCACTTTGTAGTCTACTCAGGAGTGAGACGAAGCAAGCAAGGTGGTGTCCAGTTCTCCTTCCAAGCAGGTACAGAAACAGCACATGGCGCAAACCCAGCCATTCACTATTTACCTGTATGCAAGGGGCCTCTAGCTCTTGTCCCAACAAGGGACAGCTTGTTTCTCTTCCTGCTTTGTCCTTCTTTTCTTTCTTTCTTTCCTTTTCTTTCTTTTCCTTCCTTTCTTTTTCTTTCTTCCTTCTTCCTTCCTTTCTCTCTCTCTCTCTGTCTCTTTGTTTCTCTCTCTCTCTCTCTTTTTTTTCCCAAACCTCTACTGCAGGGATGCCACCAGGAGCCACAGGCAAGGCTCAGCAGGCATAGACCCCACTCAACAACCCTCCAGGCCTCCTTATTAGAAGGCTAGCCAGGTGGTGAAGGAAGAAGGCGCAGGAAATGGGAAAGTGCTGTAATGACACGCTCTCTGCCTAGTGTCCCTGCTACTGTGGTACTAGAGGCTCTCCCCTTGATGTTGCTTTTATTCTAGGAAGATGATGAAAAGCTGATTGAGGAAATCCAAAAGGAAGCTGAAGAGGAACAAAAAAGGAAGAATGGAGGCAAGTGTTCTTCCCAAACATTGATGGGGCGTGGGTAATTCCTGTTCTCTCAGGGGTCACTGCTCAAGCCACGGGAAGGCAGTGAAAGCCATGGGTTCCGTTTGGGCACCTCTCATGATAAAACACTCCCAAGAGTCTGTTTAAGCTCTGGAGGCAAATAGAAGCCTGACTAAGGATAAGGAGACTGGCTCAGCACCGTGGAGGGAGGGCAGCAAGCCCTTGAGGCCCTAGAGTGAACAGCTCACAGGGGCTGTGCCAAGCTAGATAAACAAAGCGCCTCTATGGGCTGTGGGAGTGACCATTAGGAAAGTATAGGTTTGCCCTTTGGCCTCCTGCTCCACAGCAGGGGTGTCTTTTGTATTGAATTTGACAAGAGCCAGCCTACTCTAAGAGCTACCAACTTCTTTGGCCCAGAGGAGAGTATACTGAGGGTCAGAAGTGGACCTCCTGTGCTGGCCTGACCATACGCATCCAAGCCCTAGCAGAGTCAGAAAAGGCATGTAGTGTTCTAGTCACAGACAACAATATTGGGGTTGGTTTGGTGTGTTTGCCTCACTGAATCCCACTTTCCTTTCAGAGAACACCTTCAAACGTATTGGTCCCCCACTGGAGAAACCACCTGAGAAAGTGCAGCGTGTGGAAGCCCTGCCTCGGCCTGTCCCACAGAACCTGCACCCACAGATGCCGCCCTATGCCTTTGTGCACCCGCCCTTCCCCCTGCCACCTGTGCGGCCGGTGTTCAACAACTTCCCCATCAACATGGGTCCTGTGCCTGCGCCCTATGTGCCCCCTCTACCCAATGTGCGTGTCAACTATGACTTTGGCCACGTGCACGTGCCCCTGGAGCACAACCTGCCCATGCACTTTGGCCCCCAGCCACGACATCGCTTCTGATACCCAAAGCCCTTTCAGACCGCACTAGGTCTGCAGGAGGACTCAGTCTCACCCTCTGAGTAGAGGTGGAGTCCTGGCTTCCCTCTTAAGGATGGGCTCATTTCCTCCTGCTCTGTCCTGTGCAAGGGCCACTGCTCCTTCAGCTCTGACACCTTTTGGGTACTGGCTGTCACTAGGCAATTTTGGGGCAGCTCCCTGCTTTTGCAGTCTTAGCAGCTGGTACAGTGGCCCTGAGCCTTCCTCCCCAGCACACAACTGAAGTGGGGAAGTGGCCTGCCATCCCCAGACCAGGGTTCTCCCCTTGTTGCCCAAGGCCCACTCCGGCTCACGGACAGCCAAGAGTCCTCTGTGGCGCAAGTTCGTTCTGTTGTTATCTAAAGAGTTTGCTCCTATTTGTGTAGTTTGAGCTGAACTTTTTTGTGGGCTGTTCAAGTTTGTTTCTGTCTTCGGAAAGTCAGGTTGAAAGTATTGCCCCCGGGCTGCTAAATGCCGAGAGCCGATAGTCCCCACACTTGACATCAGCGAGAGGGTCCCCCCTCCTGGGGAGACCTCACTTGCCAGCAGCCTGGCATGAGCAGCATCTCCGCTAAAGTGTTCGGGGTTTCCCTGGGGTCCACATCCCTCGTGGAGCTGCTGCAGCTGTCCCAGCAGGCCTGCTGCCCGCTCACCTGTTCCTCGTGAGTTAGCAGTGGAGGCAGGCAGAGAGGCCCTCGCTCCAGGGTGAGGATAGCTGGCCTCCCTAAAGTTGGATGAGAATCTAGGCCTGCATAGAGGCCCTGCCACGTCCCCACTGCCTGTGTCCTCTCCTGCCCAGACCAAGTCTCTGTACATTCTTCCAGCCTGCTTACTGAGCAGGGCTGGCAGTAGATGACTCTTTCTCAGTTGAATTGGCTGTCCTTGTCCTCCTGTTGCTGTGGGGTATCCAGACCTGGAAGTGGGAAGATGTCCCTGGGAAAGGGAAAGACTCTCTGAGGTGCCCATGGTCACTTGAGTGTGGGTGGGGCGCACACAGCAGTGATTCAGGAGCCCTGCCATGGGTTACCTGAGCTGTGCTACTAGTCTGAATGACAGTGCCTTGGAAAGATGGGCCACGTGCTGCATGACAGGATCCTCCAAGTACCTTAACTACTAGTGTATTCATGTTCTCTGCACTTCTCCAGGGCCCCCCCTCCCCCCAGCTAGGTGGTTAATCCAAGCACAGCCCCTCCAAGGCCTCATGAGCCGTTGGACTGGGTACCCAGTTCTAGTTCTACCCAGTGCCCCCATCACATTGCTCCACCGAGAGTCCAGGTGAAAAGCCTGGCAGTTTCTGGGGTAACTGGAGGAACAGGCCAGGCAGGTGCCACCCAGACCTTGACACTAGGAGAGGTGAGACCAGGGTCGTGTCCTCCGAAGTGCAGTCAGTCTGTGGCCACACACGGCCGTGGCGGGGGTTGGGGGGCTGCTGCTGCCTATCCCCATCAAGGCATCAGTCCCAAGTGACCCCAAGGCAGCTGGCACCTTATCCTCTGGGACCCAGGCTGCTTCCTGGTTTGAGAAACTGCCTAGCCACTCCCAGTGTACTTGCCTTAAAACTGGAGAGAATCTAGTATTTGCACTTAGCAAAAGATTTCAGAGTTAAGAGAAAAGTGCATGATCTCACTTTGTACAAAAAAAAATGAAGTAGATGGTTAAATGTTTTTCTTTACCTTTTGGTAGTAAATAGAGAAACCAAGTCTGTTTAAACTACTGTGTAAAAAGACTGTATCATATGTAACTTGAATTTCCTGTAAATACATGTTTGTGAACACTCCTGGCTGCTTGTCCTCACTCTGACCACACGTCCCCAGGAGCCTTACCTGCAAACAAGTGCCCTGTGCCACTCACTTCCCCAAGGAAAGACATAGGACTCCTAATGGCAGCAGCACAGAGGGGAGAAAAGGCTCCTTTCACCTGCCAGGGGAGAAGCTCAGTGCCTTGGCTACCAAGTCCCGGCCCAGACACAATTAAGAATTTAAGGTGTCTCATCAGAGAACCTCCTGGAAGAAAGCACAGGCAGTCCTTAGTCCTTGAGGACTCCTTCCCTACCTGCTCCCAATGCAGCATCAGCCCTTAATTCTTGCCTCGCCTCATCCAGCTGACGGCCAGGAGAACAGCCCAGAACCCGCTCCCTGCACTCCACAGACCACACCATTCACCTTCAGCGCCACAGGGCCGAGAGGGCCTGGGCACTTGGAAAATGGGACCTACAGGTGGAGGAGGGCCAGGACAACTCTCCAGGAAGAAAGTGTTCTTTCCTGCCATTTGTTGTGTTGTTATTGGACTTGTTTCTCATCTGAGAACATTTTTGCTGAAGCAAAATTTGGGGACAAAATTTCTCTGCATCCCCAGCTCCCAAAGCAGTCACTGGTCCCCTTAGTTGTCTCCAGCCATCCAGAGCTGCTCCCGCATGGGTTACACATTCGTGGTGGCGGAGGCTCTGTAGCCTCCTGTCTCCTGGGTGACAGTGATATCCCTCACCTTCCCCAGGCAGGTTCACACCCAATAATAGTATTTCCAGAATCCTCCCTGCTGTATCATCCCAGATACCACGTGTTTGGGAGGAGTTGTTTAAGACAGGGTCTCTCTGGTCCTGGCCCGCCTGGGACTCACTCTGTTGACCAAGCTGACCTGCCTGCCTCTGCCACTCCAGTGCTGGAATTAAAGTTGTGTGCACTTCTGATGCTTCACAGTGTGGGCTTACCCAATTTCTCAGCCATTGCCTTAGTTGAAAATAAAGGCGGGGTCTGACAGTGTTACTGCCGTTACACCCAGACCCTCAGTAAACCCCTGTGCATAGCTCACAGATGCTATCCAAGATGGACCCATTTTCCAACATGAGGATGAAGCTCTGCAGCCCAGGCTTTTACTGCCCCCCCCCCAGACTTAGAATGCCCCTGCCTCTGTGCCCCACGTGCTGGATTACAGGCATGCACCACCACAGCTGGCCTATAGAGCATCTGTATGGGAGCGGAGGTGTGTACACACGTGTGCCTATGGAGGATAGAAATCTGTTCTCAACCTACTCTCCATCTGTTATTGTGGGTGGTTTTTTTGTTTGTTTGTTTTGGTTTTTAATACAGGGTTTCTCTGTGTAGCCTTGGCTGTCCTGAACTCACTCTGTAGACCAGGCTGTCCTCAGACTCACAGAGATCTGCCTGCCTCTTTCTCTGGAGTAAAGTTGTGCCGGTATTAAAGTGGTTATTTTGTGGTTCTATTGTGTGGTTCTTGCCACACCTCTGAAACAGGGTTTCATGTGTTGCTCTGACTGGCTTGGAACTCACTATGTAGATTGGCCTTAGAGATCTGCCTGTCTCTGCCTCCCAAGAGCTGAGATAAAAGGTGTGCACCACCAGGTAAGTTTTTTGTTCTTTTTGGGTTTTTTGTTATTTTTCGAGACAAGGTTTCCCTGTGTAAGAGCCCTTTCTTTGTAGACCAGGATGGCCCTGAACTCACAGAGATCCATCTGCCTCTGCCTCTGCTCCTGCCAGGATTAAAGGTGTGCACCACATAATCTTACTTTTTTGAGACCTCACTAGATTTCACCAGTTTAGCTAGGCTGGCTAACCAGCAGGCCCCCGGGAGCACTCGCTGGTGCTGAAACCATAAACGCCTGAACCCTGGCTAGGGTTTGGGTTTGGTTTTATGAGGAACTTGACGACTCATACTTCTGCGGCAAACCTTTTGCTGACTCGGGAGCTGTGTGGTTCTTGCTATGATATATATGCTTCCATTTTCCTTTTTCTCTTTTTCCAGGGAGGGGAATGTCAACATGGTCTCCTTATACAGCCTGAACTTGGAATCCTTCTACCTTGGCCATGTGCCAATGTGCCCAGCTGCCCTTGGTCAACAGCACTACGATCCAGCAAGGGTTTCCATGTCACGGTGGCAGCTCTGAGCCCTCCTCAGCACAGGCTCCACTCACATCCTTCAGTGCTGGGACTCTGGCCTCATGACCCCTGGGGAGACAGTCAGTGCCTTAGCCCTCAGGGCCATCTGAGTCTTCTCAGACCAGATTTAATGAAGCCTCAGTTCTTCTGTTGCTTCCTCTGCCAGGGGCTGTTTGTTTTGCTTGACTGGAAGGAACATGGGGGTGAAGGTTTCATCTCTTTCTGTCATGCTCAGCGCATCCCTGTCAGTGACAATAGACAGCACAGATGTGGTAGTCCCAAGACGCCTGCCACGTTCACCCATCCAGTCCTCCAGGCCATGGGAGCCCAGGCCCTGGGACCTCTTATTTGTCATTAAAGTAGGAATCAAGACATGTTCTAGCTGGGCATGGTGGCACAAGCCTTTGATCCCAGCACTTGGGAGGCAGAGGTACAGATCTCTGAGCTCCAGACCAACCTGGTCTACATAGGGAAATTTCCTGTCTGGGGTGGAAAAAAAAAAAAAAAAAAAAAAAAGGACATTCGAGGGTGAGCAGGTATCGTCGAAGTGAAGCATTTGCCATGCAAGCCTGACAGACTGAGTTCCATCCCCAGAGCCCGTGTAGATGTGGGAAACATTTGCCCTCTGACCTTCACTACGAGTACTTAACGCGTAAGCTCAGAATAGCAATAGCCAAAGACTGTCCTAGCCATGGTGGTACCTGCCTGTGATCACCGCAGAGACAGACTCCTGCATTCAAGCCCAGTTTATCTACTTAGTTAATCCCAACACCACGTAATGAGGCTTGGTTTGTGGGAGAGGGGTGATTAATGACCTGAGTTCGCTGAAAGTTGTCCTCTGATCTCCAAACTTGTACCATGACAGGAACATATATACACGGGCATATGTACACACAGCACGATAAATAAAAACCAAACTTTAGCTGGGAGCAGTGGGTCACGCCTTTAATCTCCACACTTGGGAGGCAGAGGCAGAGGCAGAGAGATCTCTGTGAGTTTGAGGCCGTCCTGGACTAGTTGGTCTATATAGCAAGTCCAGCCCAGCCAAGAAGACTATGTCCTCTTCCTTGAACTGTGAGCATTCTAGAGCCGACTGGTGTGGTAACAGCAGAACAAAGAAACACAGGAATGTTAAGGTCTGCTAGGGCTTGAACCCAGGGCCTCAGGCATGCAGGTAAGCATTCCAGTAACAGAGCTACACCCTCAGACCTCAAAAGAGCATGTGTAAACCAGGTGGCGACTCACTGCTCTAAACCCAGCACTTGGGAGGCAGAGGCAGGAGGATCACTGCGAATTCAAGGCCTGGTCTACAGAGCTAGTTCCAGGACAGCCAGGGCTACATAGAGAAACCCTGTCTAAAAAAAAAATAGCAATAATAATAATATTTGTAGATCCGTGGCCTTCATGGCCACACCAGCCCACCCTGGCTCTGAAGGCATGCTGATGGGCCCAAAAGCATCTCTCTCCTGGCTCTATTCTGACAGAATGCAGGGCCAACCAGGGAGCCAGGGACTCCATCAGAGCTGACAGAGCCACAGCAAATCAGCATGCGGGGTTCAGCCCCAGCTCTTGACCTCTTTCTCCATCTGTGTCACTAACATGCCCATTAATAATCTCCTTAGGGATATTTTCCAACCCCTCCCCCCATAAAAAAGGACAGTAAAGAACCATTTGACTCAGAAATGCATCCTCAGCCCCAGATCAGGGTCTGGCAGACGTAGGAAATGTTACTCAGAAGCCTATGTCGTAGGCATGGTATCAAATGCCTAGGATCCCAGCACTCTGCAAGACAACCATTAGTTTGAAGTCAGCCTGGGCTACGTAGTAACTTCAAGACTAGCCTGGGGTAGAGAATGTGGCCTTGTGAAGAATAGGTAAGGAAGGAGGATAGAGAAGGGGTGGGAATGGTGGCTCATGGCTGTGATCCAACACTGTAGAACTAAAGGCCAGGCTAGACCACAGAGTGAGTTCAAGACTAGCCTAGACTACCTAGTGACACCCTGCCTCGGATAAAGAGGGAGGGGAAGGAGAGGAGAGTTGAAGGAAGAAGAGGAAGGAGGGAGAGGAGTTAGGAAGAAAATCTTCCTAGCCCGGAACGGAATGTTATGTGAATTCTATGAAAGGGCCATGGTGAAGACAGCAGGATCCCCTGGAAGGCGCATCAGAGTTGCTTGATGTCTTTAGGTTCATAAAGGTAGATGAGAGTTCACCTTTGCCAGTGTCAGTGTGCAAGTCGTTCTGGACAGCTAGAGTCTTGGCTTTCTCATCAGCAAAACTGAGGGTTGGGTAGCCCTCCACCTGCTTGCTCCCTGTTATCCTGATGTGCAGATGTGAAGCATTCAAGGTCTGTGGAGATGCTCCCTAGAAAGGTTTCCATTGCAATGGTTATTTGAGTCATTCACAACAGTCCAGAGAAGCAACCCAGCCAAGGGTGATGATGCCTGCCACATGCTGTCACAGCCACTTTCCTCTCCCACTGAGCCACACCCCAGCCCCTCACTGGGGGATTCTAGGCAGGGGCTCTACCACTGAGCCACACCCCGGCCCCTCACTGGGGGATTCTAGGCAGGGGCTCTACCACTGAGCCACACTCCAGCCCCTCACTGGGGGATCCTAGGCAGGTGCTCTCCCACTGAGCCACACCCCAGCCCCTCACTGGGTTCAATCCTCTGCACATCAAAAACATTCTTTGAGCTGAGCTTGTTGGCACACACCTGTAGTCCCAGCACTCAGGGAGGCAGAGGTAAGCAGATCTCTGTGAGTTTGAGGCCAGCCTGTTCAACAAAGCAAGTCCAAGACAGCCAAGGCTACAAAAAGAAACCTTGGGGGTGGGGGATCTCTGCTTAGCTTTTACTTTGAGCTCCTAGGCCTGCACTTGACAAAC